CGCAAGCTTAAACTATACATTTTCAGTTTTGCATCTCCTGTTACGCCCAGTTTCGTTTTCATTCTGACGAGAGGTCTTCTCGTAAACGTGTTTGTACAGATTTCCTTGTGTTTGTAAATATTTTTTAGTATATTTACGCGCAAATATCAAAAAAAAAATCTCCAAGTAGGCGCTTAATCGCCAAATTTGGACACTCTGCTCTTCAACCTATTCGCATACCTACCAAATATATACAAAAAGTTTCCTACAAATCGGTCAAGCCGTTTCCGAGGAGCTTGGCCACAAACACCGTGACATGATATTTTTATATATGTTACGCCTTCTTTCATTATTTCTTTGTTTAAACTTTTTTTCATGTTGATAATCGAATAACCTGAGCGGGGACGAATGTTTTTATATGGAGTAGGTAAAATATATCAAAAATTTTTACTTAGCAGCGTAAGTTTAGTTTTAAATATTCTGCAATCATCTTATGGTAGAAAGTTGGAATTTTTTAGTACACATTGATAAATTGGTAAAGTCGCGTTATATTGGGCTCTTATGATTATATTTGTGAATTTGTCTTGAAATCTGGGTAGTACGCCAATATTTTTTTCTAATTAAAGATTATAAGAAATAGAAATTCCCCTTCGTAATTCGTATTCGGCGTTGCAGTTATCATCAATTATGTTTCTTCTTTTACTAATAGACTGTAGAAACCGGTATTTATTTATTTGGGTGGCATTCTTACAATTTATGATCTCCTGCAAACTTCATTACTCATACGCCTCGGAGTACCCCCTTACTCTTATCTTCACTAAGCAAGTCGTCGTTAATTTTGTTTAACTTCCTGTTTCCTGTTAATCAAGTGCTTTGATAATGAGAGCCAAACCAAAAACAGAAACAAAAGCATTAACACAAAAGAAAAATATTCATCAGGCCGCATAATCAACGGCAGAGGCCACATTCGCAGTTGAGCGAAGAGTTTGCATTTGCCTAATTAACGCAGAGCGTGGATAACGAAAATGGTTCACAAATAGATAGGCAGTCCGATAGGAAAAAAAAATATGCAAACCGATGGGAAAACGGATTCACTGTCAGTCAAGTTCGAAATCAGCTTACTGAAATTCCGCAGCAAATTATCCGCCATGGCGTATTTCGAGTATTTGATTCCAAAGCTATTGTTCTCATAAGCTGTCGATGGGAAAAAATTCTTTCATATTTCCCGTTTACTCACTCTTAGTTTTTAGCCCTTTTTAATTCGGGTTTCTTATCCCCGTATCCCTTTTTTCAGTTAAACGAAGCTTCATCAACAAATGCTACACACAAAACAACAACTCTGTTGGCAACAAAATAAAGGATTTTTTGCGAATATACGCTGGAACAAAGGAGAACTTGTTGGCTTTTCCCTTTCAATTTATTTGTTTAACACTTTCCATTACTTTGTTTCTCATTTCCTATCCTTCAGTTGCCCCTCGCTTTGTTAGAGTAATTTATTTGTTATACCCACACTTTTGGTTTACTCTTAAGTTATACAAACTTTTAACAAAGCACAAAAATTAAGAAAAGAATATTTAATTCAAAAGAAATGAAGGTAAATAATGCGGTTGCCTAGGATTAACGATAACGATGAAAATAAAATAATAACAAAAGGTGGAGGAAATAATTATCGCCAAAGGAAAGCACTCAGTAAATAACTTGCATTATAAATAGAATGACTGAAGCAAAGAAAAAATGCAATTTCATAGTCTACATCGCTAGCTTAGAGTGAAAAGTTGCTAAATCCGCTTTTTATGAAAACTAATGCTTTGATACAGAAGGCTAAAATTAAATTAAAAATGCATTATTTCGAAAAGGATAAAGGTACTTATCTTGTTTATTCTCATTTATATTAAATGAAAGCAAAATTTGCTAAGTCCAAAAGAAGCACCGAAAATCCTATAAAGTCAAAAAAATACGAAATCGTTTAATAAAGGTCGAATCGCTCTGATTTGTATGGAGGTTTGCTTTGCTTTAACAGCCAAAATGTTGTGTTCAACTTTTTGCGAACAATTTGACTTAGCAACTTTCACTCTAAGCTAGCTATATGTATATTGAAGTGGATTGAAATTATATCTTTTTGGAAGATTACTTTGGACTGCGTGCAAAAAGCTGCAAAATATTATTTGCCTAATCGTTTATTGAGAGGTGCTCTCCAAAAGGATCAAGTTAAAAAAAAAACAGACAAAACTCTGCATAACAGATTTTTAAAACGAAAGAAGCAGGCTTTAGTGGCTTCCTGATAATTTGTTTATAGGGAAATTTCTGTTTAACCCTTGAATGGTAAAAATCGCTTGTGAGGCGCAATGTGTCGCCAAAAGATGCATACGTGTCTCGCTTATGAGGCAACAATTACCAATAAAGGTATTTTTTTTTTGTTAAGGTAATTTTTTAATAGCAAATTTTTTTCTAACCCATAAGCTTGATATTATTTTTTAATACGTTAATTTGATATAAAATCTTAAAAACGTGATCTACTAATATTTCAGTAACATATTCCAGGTACTTATAAACAAAATTATAGCTTTTTATTTATTTTTGTTACAAAAGATAGGTATACACCTAAACTCATAAAAAATAAAGAAGACTTTAACTGTTTTGTAAATAGAAAATTTGTATGAAAATGTCTTTTTATAAAAATCTATAAACCTATTTTATTTTTTATGAATGAGGCCAATAGTAAGTAAATACTTTTTCGCTTTTGTTTGAATGTTTTTTTTTGTAAAGGCGAAATATTCCTTTTTTATAAATGTAGCCTCATACGCGATGTTTGCCATTAAAGGGATAAAAAAATGTTTGCCATTCTAGGGTTAATTCTTTTTAGTGGATAAATTACTTTCACAAAACTACCAAGCACATTCACATTGCAGACTCTTAAATGAATCATTTAGGAATCATATATGATCCAAGTTATGAGCCAGCAACTTGTGCCAATATACAAACAATAAAGACTTGAAATTTATTTCTAAACTTGTTTATACAGAACTTGAAAACAATTAGAAAACAAAAAATAAACAAAATTTAGCTGCCACTGCTGCTATTAAATGCATGTTGGAATGTATATATCGACTGCTGAGTGGAAGATCGACCTATCTCGGCAGCCAGTTCGAAAACGCCCTATCTCAAAAAAATTTTCAAGAACGCCCTATTTGAGAACTTTGTTGAAAGACACTCTATGTCAGAATTTGGCTAAATAACGCCCTATTTCAGAATACGATTCAAAAATGCCCTATCTTACTTCAAAATGTATTGAAAATGTGCTGATATAGGGCATTTTTGAATCGGCAGCTGAGATAAGTCGATCTTTGGAATTATTATTATTTTTTTTATTATTAATTTTTGGAATAGGACGTTTTTGAAAGTTTTTTGAAATGGGGTATTTTCGAACTAGCTGCCGAGGTAGGTCGATCTTCCACTCAGCAGTAGATATGCACGTAAGTATGTACATATGTATGCTATTTGAAAGAATGTAGTACGTTCAGTAAGACTCTAAGAACAACCTAATATAAGAGCCCTAATATAGTCATTTATCCGCCCGATAAGAGCCTCAAAAAGAGTCTAAAATGATTCATATATGAAGCCAAAAAAATTTTTTAAAAGAGTTCAAAATGATTCGCATTTGAGCCCAATAATAGTTTAGTATGACTCATATTGAGGCTCATTTAATGTATGAATTTAAGCTCATATAAGTCGACCTTCGGAGGAAGGGAAACACCCTCATATGGGACTCTTAAATGAGCTCACTAAGAGCGTAAAGGGCTGAAATAGGACTCCGTAAAGACTCATTTATGACTCCAAATGTTTGCTGGGTAGGTGGCAAAGTGGAAATGAGCTAAGAAGGAAAATACCAAAACAAAATATTTTCACTTCTGGCTAAGTTGACGTGTTGAGTAGTCACTGACAATTTCTAGACCAACTGAGCTTTAAATAACCATTGCAAATGTCACAGAATGTTTTACGAGTTTTGCAGTTTTATTATTTTTTCATTAACATTAAGACGACTTTCTCAATCGGCAGAAGGTTAGTGGGCAAGATTTTTACTACCATTTCCCAAAGAAACCTTTCTGCTTGGGGTCAAGTTTTACTTAACGCTAGGCAGATTTTAATATTTTACTGCCAATATTTATTCTGCCAGTTATGTTATGTTTTTTTTATGTTATGTTATTTTCGCTTCTGGCTAAGTTGACGTGATGAGCAGTCATTGACAATTTCTAGACCAACTGAGCTTTAAATAACCATTGCAAATGTCACAGAATGTTTTACGAGTTTTGCAGTTTTATTATTTTTTCATTAATATTAAGGTCCTTCCAAATTACCATGTCTTAAAGAAAACTTTCTGCTTGGAGTCAAGTTTTACCTAACGCTAGGCAGATTTTAATATTTTACTGCCAATATTTATTCTGTCAGTTATATTTCTAAAAAATAAAATTTAGTTGAAAAGCATTCCAATTTTACTGATGCCTTTCAAACTTAAATAAGAAGTACATCTTCATTAAAAAGTTATAGGGGTCATTTGACCCTCTTTGCAAACAGGTATACTTAGCTTATTTACTATGGTATGAAATTATAAAATTTAATTTAATTACTATGTTATTTTTAAATTAATAATTTAATTAATAAACAGTTTGTAATTTAAAATTATAAGTTTTTTTTACTAAAATTAATTTTAAAGTGACTGGGTCAAATAACCCTGTCCGTCTTTCAATGTATGTATGTCGATTTTTCAGTCTTCCTAGTATTAAACAAATTTTTCAGTACTGCAACATTAGTATGAAAATTTGCTCGGCTGAACCCATCGCAGTGGAACTGCGGATAAATGGCCTTAATTTTAGTCAAATTTTGCTTATATTAACAATATTTTTGAAAAAAGTTTACCCGAGAGGTGGTGCCAAAATAGAGTTATAAATTTTAAGAAATTATTCTTAAATCTGAGTTAAATAGAATTAGTACTTTAACTTACTTATTTTCAATATTCTTTTCAGGTCAATGTTAGCAACACTTGGACTATGCCACAAGAGGGACTTAATGTCTTCTATCGCTTCTTTCGCGATCGAATATCTTGGTTTGAGGCAGATGCTGTATGCCAATTTCATCATGCCAATCTAGTGACAGGTAAATAAAGGAATAACAGATATAAAGCAATTTCGATTAAGATATATGATATGCAAAGTAAAAATCAGCCTTAAGCAAAACTTAATTCTAAGAAAAGTCTAAAGTTATCTAAAAATCAGCTTGACTCCACTCAATAGAGCAAACGATGTGAAATTATAAAGCCACCCAAGAAGGAAATCACTTTCAGATATTCCATGCTATAAACTGAAGACACTAGCCGGAAGAAGGCAAAGTTTTTCGCCGAAAAAATGTGCAGAAATAAAAGTGTCAAAAGCAAACATTGGTTAGTGGCTACGAAATCGGTGGCGGTGACAGAAAAATGAAAAATGCAAATATGCTGGCAGGGCATACGAAAACGGTGTAAAAACAAAAATGTGCATATGAAAAAAGGAAGAGCAGAACATGCGGTGTAGAAAACGGACAGCAGTTGGTGGCTGTGTGCTCGGTAAAAATAAATAAACTAGATATGCAAATGTTCAACGACGAAATGCACAAACAGACAAGCACTCCGGGCGCATACAAATGCAAATTCACAAAACAAACACACTCGCACATCTGTAAAAATGGAATTCATCGCACAAGCGCCCACATACATAAGTACATGCATATTTAGAAGCACACGAGCATAGAGATCGACACTAACAAAGAGGGTTGCTTCAAATGCTATGACATAAAAAAATGAAATCCGAAAATATAAAATTCATACGCTCTGTTGACCACTGAGAGTACGCGTCACTTGGCTTCAGGCAAACGAGATTTCCAGTTGGTTGAGCGCAGCAGCAGCAACAGCATCGGCAGCAGCACAACAAAAATACTAACGAAGAATTAAGTTAGTGTTTGTCAAATTCCACTGCCTCTAGCAGAAAATAATAAACAAAATATCTACAAACGCGCATAGATAATTTCAGTGAAAACCTAAAAAAGGCACAACCTGGCTAGTACTTACCCAAATTCTCTTTGAATTTTTCGATTTTACATTTTATCACTTAAAATGTCAACAGACGCCAACAAAGTTTGACCTATCAATAACACAAATTCGCAGTACAAACTAACACCAATAATGCTTCATGACAGCTCCTTTGCGCTAACGGCCTTTTTGTGTTTGTCAACGGTGATGAAGGCCACACAACTGAGAGGCAAATACAAGGGAACATTTTGAAAATTGTGCCAGCGAATTTTGTTAATTTGAATACCTCTGCACCGGGTGCCTACTGCTGCCTACACTAATACAAAGCACCTTACGTTTTTATGGCAAAATCTGGCATATTGATGATGGCATAAAAGAGATAATTTGATGTCACTAAGTAAGTAGTGAGTGACAAGAAAAGCTCCTAACAAAATATCAACGTGGAAGGAAGGCTGCATTTCAATTTGGAAAAAGTAGCTTCCGAACGAAATGCGGACTACTTAATTATCATTAATGCAATTACACTGACTCAACTAAATGACCACGTTTGTTTTTATTTTTAATATTTGTAATATTTTTTGGCAAAATTTTTTTGTTATTTTCAATAAAAATACCAAGCTTTAACCAAACACATATAAATCATAAATTCAAACTTAATACAACATTTAGGAAAACTCAACAAACTTTCACTAAAATTGCAACTTTTAAATCTGAATCTTGAAAAATTTTTGGTATGTAGTTTTATACCGCATAAAGGTTTAGTTTAAAGAAGTGCAAGTTTCAACTGGCTAAAGAGTCGTGTTGATTTTTGAATTTTTTTTTTTTGACTGCTTTTGCAGATTTGCAAAAAGTCGTCACAAATAAAAACTCTCAAAAATCAACGGGATTTTTCAGCCATTTGAAACTTGCACTTCATTAGACTAAAACTGCATACACACAAATTTTGAGGTTTAGATGAAAATTTGTTGAAGTTTCCTAAATTTTGTATAAAGTGTAGTATTGTGATTTTGATGCCTACACCCATGGTTTTGGACGGTATTTTTGTAGAAAAATAACAAAAAAATTTACCTAAAAAAAAATTACGAAAAATAAAAAAAAACGTAGTCATTTATTTGAGTCACTGTGAATACCCCTTCTGTGACATCCTTGATACAGCCTTTTCAATGTTGATTTGGCATCCATATACTGCTCTATCGTAACCGTAGGACTGGACCCACTGATCACTCTCTGGATCCACAATATGTTAAGTACCAGAAGCATCAATGGCTCCTTGGAAATTGCAGAAGTAAGGAAAACAGCCACACGTGGAATCCGTCGAGTGGGGTGTTATCTCCCCTGCTGTGGAGCCTCCTGCTCCGCACATCGACAGTAACTGTTACTTTCAGGTCTCGGAAACTGAATTCTATCCAAATTTCGTTGTCCATTTTCTCGCCAGAAGAAACAGGGAACTTAATATTGCTCTCAACGGTGACGCATTACCCATTTTCATGGACGGCTCCAGAACTGTTGTCTTTTCTCAAATCGCTACAAGCTTAACAATAACACATATTCAATCTTTACTGGGTCCCGCGGCATAGTGGTGCTAAAAACGGATCTTAGATGGGGCTTGGATCCAGATCGTGAAACCTCCTTCTGTGTCGAGAGAGTGACGAGGGCAGCACCCAACAGTTGATCAGAAAATCTGCACACCTGCATAAAATCACGATCGCTCTGGCCACGGCTCGACGCACGAAGAACAAGACGTTTGTTCATTTTATTTGGCTTTCAAAGCCAGACGTTGGGCTTCTCACAGCAATACTATCGGGACACTGAACCAATGGGAATATGGCTGAGGAAAATGCCTTAAATTTCTTGGGGACCATTTCTTCAATAACCTGAATACCTTGAGGAAAGCTTCACTGGAAGGACTGCTAGGATTCGCCAGAGAATAGAGTGGTTCAAAGATCGCCCCCTAGGCATCGCAGTGGGTCTTTTTGGTCTCTGCTCTGAGTGAACTCTTCTCAGTGCTGCCCGTTTAACCCGACATAGACAGCAATGTCGCAAAAGCTGTACACTTTAGGAGAAAGTGTTGAGACGACGCCACCTCGTCGTACTCTACGCAACTGTAGCAGTACAAATCTGATGTGATATTTCCTCTCCCTGGGTGAAATCCACTCAAATAACCTTTATTTTCAGCTTCAAAATACAAACTTCGACAAGACATTATTTTAAAACCTGTACTTTATTCTTACACAGTTTTGTTATAGTATAGATTAAATAGTTTCTTTAAGTTGTAAATAAAAATATACTCACTTTTTTAAAAATGTAATTTAAAACTATGAATTTACTTTCAGTTGACAATAGCTTCCAATTTGATGCAACGAGAGATCTTTTGCGAGAACTGGACGTCAATGATATTGTTTGGATAGGTCTGATGCGACCGCAGAGCTCGGAACGTTTTATGTGGTCGTAAGTATTAAAAACTAAAATTAAAATATAGTAATGTTTTCAAAACTTAAAAACACATCGATTTACACTATAAATCAGTCATACTCTTTATTTGTTTTCCCCACACAATTTTTTTTCCTTGAACAAGAATTTTTGCAATATTTAAAAAGTCCGCTCACAAAAATGTTTAACTAATTAATATAACCACTGAGGATCAAGCCAAAGAACAAGGCTTAGGCAAATGGTAAAAAAAAAATGTTTGTGAAAAGTGCTGAAAAGTGATTTATTTCAAAACTGCGTTTTTTACAGCTTTTGGTAGGTTATGTTAAAATATACTTTAACAAACACTTGATTTTTAAAAATTCTACCTGCTTTTGATACTCTTTTTATAATTTTGGGATGATGACAATTTTGAATAAAAACTATTGATTTGATATGATAGCCAATTTGTTTAAAATAGTAACACTCTTTACGCCAAGGGAAAAAATCCAAAAAATTTCAAAACACAAGAAAAAATCAATATGCTCTCGAAACTATGGGCCAGATACAGTGAAACTGACTGTGTAATGTAGAATAATAATACGTGTACCAAATAAAAAAGAAAATTCTGTAGAATTAAAAAAATTTTATTTGTCAACACTGTCCTTAGCCCAGTAAAATTAGATCAAATTGGTAAGAAAAAAACAAATTTTTTAAGTAGCGAACTTTTGATGCAGCTAAAATCTATTTCTATTATCCACAGTCTTGCGCCTAAATTCCATAAGGGAACATTCCGCCATCTTGGATTTTGTTTTTTGGGCTTTTTGCGATTTTCAAGCTTATTTTGCCTTTTAAATTAATGGTTAAATAACAAATTGTAAAGAATTTAATTTCCCCCAGTTTTTACGTATTAGATTTAAAAAAATAATTGTTTTTGTAAATATTTAGCAAGAACTGCGAAAAAATTTTACATTGCCACGGTTTTCGCCATTTTTCAATAATGTCTTTTGAAAATACGTAACATGTTCATAGACCAGTGGTGTAGAGAATTTCATTCTCCACAAACTTTGTACGAATTTTTTTTTTTGTATTTGATTGGGCCGAGTTCCTATTGAAATTGTTTGCTTTGTTTTTTTTTGTGTACGACGCTTCGATCGCAACCGGGACCGTGGCAGACATAGCGATGTAAGGAAATCGGCGTAAAATTCATTTCCACATCACGTCAACCGGTACAGTACGATGGCCAAAACTCTATAGGACGGATTACAACGATTAAGGTCTTAAAATGATCACATAGATGAGAAAAAGTCTAATTTTACTGGCCTATTCGGTCCGCCTAAAAGTAGACCTCAATTTATGTGCTTTCTAATAGCACGTGCGTAGGTACACACACATGTTTGAACATGCCACTGCACCTATTCTGCTGTCTCACTATAAACTTAATTTTCCATCTTGTTTCTACTTCATCTCCTTCTCTATTTTCAGCAACTCCCGCCCACTGGTCACCGACACTGGCTACTGGGCCGAATCGTTGCCACTAATGGATGCACCACTCTGCGCCGTCATCGATCCCATACGCGATTATCGCTGGCATGCGTTGCGCTGCGGCGGCCCCGAGACCGCATCGTTCCTCTGCGAAATGCCGGGTAAGTGTATCTGTGGTTGGGTAGCGCAGTCCAGAACATGTGCCGCATGTAAGTGTTGGCACACTTAATAGTACGCCTATGTACTTCTATGCCTAGGTGTGTTGTCTATGTAAATAAATACATACATACATATCTACATATGTACATATGTTCGGTGCACTTAATGAAAATTCAACATTTTCGTTGCTCTACTTTCGCGTTTTTGTTACTAGTTTTAGTAGTCTTGTTCACTTCGATTTTCGTTTGTTGCCATTTCAGTGCCTTCCTGGGCTGATGCTTGCATACTTAAGGATATGCCTAATCTAACTATGCAATATATGGCCGATACAGCGAGCATTGAGTTGATACGAAATTGCGCAGAGGAGGGTCTATTAAAGCAGTCTTGCAAAGGAAAGCTGGTAAGTGCAGGGAGAATGTTTTAAGTTAGGCTAAGATGTGTTGGGTTTCGCATGGCTTCAACTACGCGTTATTAATTATTCTTTCGGAATTAAAATAGGAAACCAAATATGTATAAGACCTAGATTAAGAGTCCTTTCAGCCAGAAATAATTTCCTACCGCTTTAGTTGGATCTTGTTCACTATGTACACTTACTACCAGTATACAAAAAAATATATATATGTTTACTCATATACATGTTTATTCATATATTTGGCACTTATTTAACAGTTAGTAGATACTTCTCCTATTTCAAGGTACTAAAAACAAAGACTGTCTAGAAGTACGCAAAAGAAAATGTCTGAGCGAGTCACAAATTCATTAATATGTTAGAGGTTATACTTATGGACATACATTAGTGACAATATCAACTTTAAATTACCGCATAGCAAACCTAATTGATTTTGCAGACATAATATATAATAAAAAATGCATCCTTACAGACTCCTTAATAAATGCTCCATACATCCATATAAAGTCGCTGATGAATTCCTACTAAACTTGGAAGTCAAATAGTTCGTAGGGGCGGCGTTTTTCACGTTTTGCGGAAAATATTATTTCTCTATCATATACCTTTGGGATTCTGTGACTGGGGCAAATAGGCACTTTACGCCTTCTAGTTGTTTACTAAAGCGATGCTATTTCTAGAAGTCGAGAGGGAATCCTTAAGCTTATGTGGTTACTATAACAGTCCATTTCCCCGCTAACCGCTAAAGTACTTCTGACCATTTTGGCTACCTTAGAAGTACTGTGGAGAACAGATTAAAACCCGACTTACTACATACAAATGGAAAAATAGGTCATCCAAGCAGCGTCTGCGATAAACCCTGTTTTAAAACCACATCTTCCTCGTGAATAAATATCTCTGTGCCTTCGTCTTGACTTGTGGCTCCGACTCAGCCGCTAAACTTAAACGTAGAATACGTGATATTATTAAGATTACATTCATGTTATAAATGGTACATGAAATATTCCTCGTTTTGGGTTATTTATTAACTGCTAAAATTTCCTGGATAGTAAGCTGTCGTTGAAGTGTAATATTGAGGAAAGAAGGCGTCGGTTGCCTTGTACTGGAGTATGGGAGCTATCTGTAAAAGGTGACGTCTGTCGCCTAAAATACTTCCTTAGCTCTATGAACCCAGTTTTATGCCTATCATATTTCACGGAGCCCTTGTCTGGTGAAACTCACTAGAAAACGCTAAACTTGTAAAGCAACTGGAGCGTTTACAGCGGGTAGCCCTTATTGCAATTAGTAGAGCTTTAGGAACCACATCTAGACTGGCCCTTAACGTCATGCTGAACACGACAGACAGAATTGCCGCAGCACGAACTGCTATTAGGCTCAGGGGAACCGGGTGGTAACACTGGGTGGAGTTCTGGAGGGCTTTGGCTTCGCCGTGAACACATAGATTACAGCGCTTCTGAAATAGATCCCAGAAGCTTCTTCTTTATCTATACTCTCATGAGAGGACTAGGTAGGGCAGGGTTACTCGAACAAGGAAGCGGTAAACTTCTTGACGGATGGATCAAAACATGGAGACAGGGTTGGTGGAGGTTTCTTCAGTTGGAAACCCTCCACCAGAACTATTTTCAGGCTTATTCAGTGTCTTTAAGATGGAAATAGCTGCCATCAAGGAAGTGGTAGACTCATTTCTAAAGGGTATGATGATGCGCTCGAAATCGGTAATGGAACGTCTGACCTCTCTATCAATCGCTTCGGAGTTCTTCTTTATAGGGCTAGTTTAGGAGCCGACCCACAGTGAAATCGCGGAAAACTGCGTGGCAGGTAACCTGGCGTCGGAAAGCACCCTAAAAACATTATCTCCAGATAATAAGCAAGTAGGAATGCATCTGTCCCCCTGCGATACACTCTTGGATGGTCCAGTGTTAACTCGGCGAGCGCTAGAATAACACGCATACTTCGTTTTCGCGATAATGCAATTGCGTACTCTACTGAATACCTAATAAAATAGAGAAAAGAAAGCATTGTTCCTTTTGTAACATAATAAAGGAAAAAAGAGTTTCTCTGCTGCAGAAGGTGTTTTTATAGGGCACTTTAAAATGCTTTTTGCAGCGCAAGACACGAGTGCCCATCGTTATCCCTTAAAGGTGTCAAAAAACACGTTACCTGAAGGGCTGTCAAGGAAAGGGAGGTGGAATCATCTCCACACTTTCTTTTAGACTTTCCAACCTTCGGGAGGCTAAGATGGAAGCATTTTGGCCGCACTTCCTAACTAACACTGAGCTCTCAGGGATCGAAATTAGCCGCATTCGAAATTTGGTAGTCGGCTCGCGGCATCTCGCCGACTAAATTAAGGGCATCCATTCAGTTTTTTCGTGGTATTACAATGGACAACCTCTCCATTGTCTAATTGTGTCCCTTGCCTGGGGTACCCACTTTAACCTAACCTAACCTAACCTGTACTCCTTTCAGCTATGAAATAGTTAGTCACATTAGACATCCATATCAGGATATATATTGCAGTTTTCCGCTCTTATTTAAGTCGAACCTTCCTTTTGAAAACCTCCTACATATAATTAAATAAAGTAATGTAAAAAAAATATTTTTTTAAAAATAAGCTTTTATTTAACATGTTTAATCAAAGGAACAAAATAAAGTAGTGAAACAAAAGATTTTTTAGCAAGAAAATTTTGTCAAAACTGCACTAAAAAGAATAAAATAAAATAAGTTAAGGTCTCGTTAAAGTTACTAAAAGCCATTTAGTGAAAGGAGTTATTTCAACTCTAATGAAAATTACTAACAATTTGTACTAATTTACTTCGTTTTTAAAAAAGCTTGTCGCGCGAATAGCAAACCGGCATTTAAATATCTGCATACATACATATAAATACATACATACCTAACCAATTATGCATGTACGCTGAATTCGCCGACAAGCTTTTTTAAAAACGAAGTAAATTAGTACAAATTGTTAGTAATTTTCATTAGAGTTTGAATAACTCCTTTCACTAAATGGCTTTTAGTAACTTTAACGAGACCTTAACTTATTTTATTTTATTCATTTTAGTGCAGTTTTGACAAAATTTTCTTGCTAAAAAATCTTTTGTTACAATACTTCATTTTATTCCATTGATTGTACAGGTTAAATAAAAGCTTGTTTTTAAAAAATATTTTTTTACATTATTTTATTTTATAATTTTTAGTCCATTTATAAAAGTGTTGTATATTAAAAAGTGTTATTTTATTTTATGTACAAAATTTTGCAATAGATATTAAAATAATTCAACTTGCAATGAAAGAGAACAGAAGACTATGCAAGCAAAATGTTGTTTGCTTACGTTTTGTATAAACATACATATGTACATACATACATATAGCAGCAGTTAATTTCATTTAAAGAAATGGCGTCTAGTCCACTTCCGCTGTAGCATGGCATATATTTAGGCGCAATATTAAAGTTCTTCTGGCGGGGAAACTTCTCGAGTCTTCTAATTGTATCTCCTAGATATGATGCCTACAACGAGGTTCATATCTAGACTAGGTTGATATCAAGAATTTGCCATAAATAGTTTTGCTCTGGTTTGACGTTCTTTGGCAAATTACGCTCTGTTAGCCATAAATTTTACTAATTTTTGACCGACTTTGAATCAAGACCCCTGGACCATATAGGGAATTCATTTATATTTTAAATTGCATTGTCATCGCGATTGGAACTATGCTGAAAATTTCAAGTCTCTAACTTGTCGGGAAGTTAGTTTAAAATCGATTGGAAATTTCCGCGATTTGCGCGGGATGACCAAGTTAAATAAAAGCTTATAAAAATACATAAATCCTTTTCAAAACCATTTCGATCGATACTCATAGTATGTTAATTGATTTTACTTAAAAATAATTTTAATTTAGTTTTTACAGCTGGAAACTCTTTTTGAAATTATTGCACATCAACATCCACACCAGGGATGTTGCGAATACTTGCATCCGTAGTCCTTGTGCGAATGATTCGCATCATTTTACACATTCGCATTCGCATCAAATGATACGAATGTGTTGCGAATGTGTACATGGGCAGAGTCCACTCTATATTGTTGAAATGGCTGTCTAACCAGGGTGCGGACAGTAACCGGTGTTGAGACAGTTTCTCAACGGAACGATTTTCTTAGAATTTTGAACGAAAAACTACGCCAGCTGGATGTGAATTCAAGTTTTATTTTGCATAGTTTCAACATATGTAATTATACTTGTATGTATGTTAAAATTCCTGTTATGGATATATAACTTAAACAAAATCAATTTGCGGAATATGATATGGTTAAATTATACAAACTTTAAGGTATGAAAACCAAAGCGTATGAAGAGATCTCGTTTAATTGCTTTTAAGCTACTTTATGCACAAACTAGCTAAAGTACAATTGGCGAATCAATTGGCGCAATTATAGAACTCGTCTTACGGCTCGTGGCAGAAGTCATTTCAATTTATCGATAAAAAGAAAGGACTAGCGGCCGCTGTGGTGTAGGGGTAAGTAGTGCGCGCGGTTTTTTCTTAACAGCGGTCGCCCCTCGGTAGGCAATGGCAAACCTCCGCGAGTATTTCAGCCATGAAAAACAGCTTCTCATAAAAACACAATCGCCGTTCGGAGTCAGCGTAAAACTGTAGGTCCCTCCCCTTTGTGTGACAACATCAAGGCACACGCCACAAATCGGAGGAGCAGCTCGGCTGAACACATATGTGTAAGCGCCAATCTATTATTATTATTATATGTTTTAGACAGTGGCGGCAACAGCCGGCTTTAGCTTCACGCGCTAAACGGTTAAGTACTATATCAAGCAACATTGATGGGCCTTCAACAAGTATTGCTAAAAGTATTAAAAGCAACCAAGAAATAATTTTAGATTAGAATGGAGACATTATAAAATGTGAAGTTAAAGCTCAATTTAATCTTAATAAAAAACGAGTACATCTCGGTGAAAATCCTCTCGATTGGTGGAATACTAGACTAAAA